ATACTTATTTTTATTTAAAATATTTTTTACTTATTATTTTTATTTTATGTATATGAGTGTATTGCCTGCATGTGTATAAGTGCACCTGTTGTCATGCAATACTAGCAGAGGTCAGAGGAGGGCGTTGGATCCTCTGAAACTGGAGTTACAGATGGTTGTTAGCTGCCATGTGGGTTCTGGGAACCAAACCTGGGTCCTCTGGAAGAGCAGCCAGTGCTCTTAACCACTGAGCTATCTCTCTAGCCTCTATTTTTTTGTGGGGAGAGTCTTTTCGAGACAGGGTCTCCCTGTAGCCCCAACTGGCCTGGAACTTACTATGTAGAGCAGGATGGCCTCAAACTCACAGAAATCCACCTGCCTCTGCCTCCCAAGTGCTGAGACTAAAGGTGTGTGCCACCACGCCTGGCTAGCCCCTATTTTTATTTTTTAAATTATGTGTACGTGTGTGTCTGTGTGTGGGTATGTGCATGCGAGTGCAAGTGCCAGCAGAGGCCAGAAGAAAGTGTCAGATCCCTTGGAGAGAGAGCTGTAAGTATTCTTAACCACGGAGTCATCTCTCCAGACACCCCCTTTAAAAATGTATACATTTATTTTTAACATACACAGACATAAACATCATACCAATTTATGGAATACCATGTGTTTTTTGGGTACACACATATATAATGTTTAAATCAGGCTAAATATACCTAGCTCCTTAAACATTTATCACTTCTTTGTGGTAGAAACATTAAAAATCCTTTCTTCTAGGGGCTGGAGAGATGGCTCAGAAGTTAAGAGTACTGTATGCTCTTGCAGAGGACCTGGGTTTGATTCCCAGCACCCACATGGCAGCTAACAACCATCAGTTACTCCACTTCCAGGGAATCTGAAGCCCTCTTCTGACCTCCGTGGGCATTGCACAACACGGGTGTACCTACTTACATGGAGGCAACACACAAGACTACATAAAACAAAAATAACAAATATTTAAAAAATTCTTTCTTCTAGTATCTGGAAAGATATACTATGTTATCATTATCTATAGTCATCCTACTGTGTAACGGCACATCAGAACTTCCTGCTCCCACCTAACTGCAACTTGGGCTCACTCAGCAGCCTCTTCCCATAGTTGCGTCTCTTTTTGTTCTCCTCAACTTTTGATGATCACCATTCTCACTAAACTACCTCCTCCTCCTCTGCTCTTCTTTCTCCTCCTCCTCCCCGTTTCTTCCTCCTCTTCTTCCTGCTCCTCTACCACCTTTTTGCTTTTCCTCCTTGCTCTTTAAGACAGGATCTTGCTATGTAGCTCAGGTTGCCCTTAAAGTCATGGTGATCCTCCTGCCTCAGACTTCTGTGTGCTGGGATTACAGGCATGCATCAGTGTCTGGCTGCACTCTCATCTACCAGATGGACTGCTTTAGATCTGTTTAAGAGCAAGTGGTACTTATCCTTCTGTGCCTGGCATAATTCACTTAATGATCTCTGGTTGCACCTATGTGCAAGGTATGACAAGATTTCATTGTTTTAACTTTTATTTATTATTTTTAAAAATTATTCTATGTGTATGAATGTATTGCCTTCATGTATGTAAGTACACTCATGTCATGCAATGCCCAAGGAGGTCAGAAGTGAGATGGAACTGGAGTTACGGATGGTTGTTAGCTGTCATGTGGGTGCTGGGAACTGAACCTGGTCCTCTGCAAGAGCAGCCAGTGCTCTTAACTGCTGAGCTATTTCTCCAGCCCCTGGTGTTCCTATTCTTAAAAAATCACTTTCTAGGCTGGGCATGGTGGTACACGCCTTTAATCCCAGCACTTGGGAGGCAAAGGCAGGCGGATCTCTGAGTTCAAGGCCAGCCTGGTCTACATAGTGAGTTCCAGGTAGCATTTGTTATTTATTTATTTATTTATTTATTTATTTATTATTTATTTATTTTCTGGATTTTTTTTTTTTTTCTGAAACAGGGTCTCCCATCAGTCCCAGCTGCCCTGAAACTCACTATGTAGACTAGGGTGGCTTTGAACTCACAGAGATCAGCTTGCCTCTCCCTCTCAAGTGCTGGGATTAAAGGCATGCGCCACCAGGCCCGGCTGTTATTTTATTTTTCAAATAGCTATTCTGATGGAATCTCAATGTAGTTTTTATTTGCATTTCTCCATGACTAAAGATGCTGAACATTTAAAAAATGTATTTAGTGGCTCTTGGTACTTGGTCTCTGAGAAGTGTTTGTTTAGATCATGTGCACACTTACTGACTGGGATACCTGTTATTTTGTTGTTACAGTTTTTTTTTCTTTTGACAGGATCTCACTATACAGCCTAGGCTGGGTTCTCAGCCTCCCAGTGCTGGGATTAGGGGCATCTGTCCTCATGCTTAGCTAAGGTTTGAATTTTTATATATTCTGGATATTAATCCTTAGTCAGATGAGTAGCTGGTAAAGGTCTTCTCCCATTCTGTATGTGATGTCTTCCCTCTACTGAGTATTTCCTTTGCTGTGTAGACACTTCAAATTTTTAAAATTGATTTTTTTGTTTATTTCATATAAAATATCTTAATTGTCTTTATATACCCTACCCCATTCATACCCTGCCATAGCGCCCCCAACCAGATTTCATGCATTCTGTCGTTTATGTTAAGGCCTATCAAATCAAGTTAGTGTACCCAGATTTCCCTCAGTGCAAGTTCATCCACTGGGGTCTAGTAAGCCTATCTGCAGTCACTCCCTTAAAGAAGATAAGCTCTCCCTCACCCAGCAGTAATCAGCTGCCAATAGTTCTTCGGGTCTGCTCCTCATTTCCCCAGCTCTGTGCTGGGGTTTTGTCTGTTTGAGTTTGCAAGGAACTTGTGCATGCTGACACCATTGCTGTAGATTCATATGAGCAGGGTCCCGGGAGCTTGTAAGACTCTGTTTTCATATGGTTGTGTACTACCTTCCCTGACTCTTAGAATCTGCACTCCGCCTCCCCCCTTCTGCAGTGGTCCCTGAGTATGTCCTGTCTTCAGCACTAGCATCTTATCTTCAAGTTTTTGGGAGGTTATCAAGGACTGTAGCAATAGACTGTATTATTTCGGTAGTCTCTTGAACTACCCTGACCAACAACTTGAAGGGAGGTTTAGTCTGTTTGGCCCTGTTTCTTGTTATAGAGCCTTCAGCCACATGCACTCATGTACAGATAGTGTATATATATTTTTCAGTGGGCTTTTGAGCTAATACATTTTCCTCTGGTTTTCCACACCACCTAAGCATTATTTATCTCTTCTCTCTCTCTGTCTAACCCTCTCTCCTCCTTCCCCAGTTAAGGTCTCCCCATTTTCCCCTTGATAATAGTTATTCCCTTTTATCCCCCTTCTCTTGAGCTCCTTCTTCCCCTCCCCACCCCATGGTTCCTTGTATAACCCTCCCTGCTCCCTTCCCAGTTAAATACCCCCATTTCCCCCTTGATAACATCTGTCTTCTACTATCCCCCTCTCTCAGGTGCCTTCTTTCCCTTAGCCTCCATGGTTCCTTTCCATTTTCCTGACTCCTACAGTTACATCAGGATATATACTCACATATAATTGGTGCTAAGATCCACAAATGAGAGAGAGCATATGTTGCTTGTTTCTCTGAGTCTGTGTTACATCACTTAGTGTAACAGTTTCTAGTTCCATCCACTTACTGGCCAATTTTATGATTTAATTTTTCTTTACCTCTGAGTAGAACTCCACTGTGTAAATGTTTCACATTTTCATTATCCATTTGTCAGTTGAGTAACATTTAGATTGCTTCCATTTCTTTTTTGTTTTCTTTTTAAAATTTTTTTAATTTATTATTTTATTTTATGTGTATGCGTGCATTGCCTGCATGAGGGTAAGTGTACCCATGTCATGCAGTGCCCGCGGAGGACAGATGAGGCTGTCAGATCCCCTAGAACTGGAGTTACGGACAGTTGTTAGCTGCCATGTGGGTGCTGGGATTCGAACCCGGGTCTTATGCAAGAACAACCAGTGTTCTTAACCGCTGAGCCATCTCTCCAGCCCCAATTGTTTCTATTTCTTAGCAGTGTGGTCTGCAGGTCTCAGGCGGGACAATCAGGAGGGGGCCTAGGGTCTAAGCAGGGGTGGGGACAACATGGGGAGAGAGAATGTAGCTGGCTGCAGTATGGAGGAATCAAAACTCTTATGGCAGTTCTAGTTTTAATTTTTGGAGGAGCCACCATATTGTTTACTATAATGGTTGTAATAATTTATATTCTCACCAGGAGTGTCCAACTTTTCATTTACATCCACACCAGTACCTGGTATCTCTATTCTTTTAGGTAACAGCAATTCTTTTTGTTTTTCTGTTTTTGTTTTGCTTTGTTTTGTTTTGAGACAGGATCCCCCCTATAGCCCCAGCTGGCCTGGAGCTGCCTATGTAGACCAGGTTGGCTTCCATTTCAGAGATCCACCTGCTTCTGCCTTTTAAGTGCTGGGACTAATGGTGTGCATCACTATGACCAGCAATAACCACAATTCTTACTGAGTAAGATATATCTCACTGTGGTTTTGATTTGCATTTTTCTAATGATTAGTGATCTTGAATATTATTTTATACATCTCATGGTTGTGTGTGTGTGTGTGTGTGTGTGTGTGTGTGTGTGTGTGTGTCTAAGTTAGCCTGCTTAGCAGGGTCGTGAATGCCATCTGTTTTGTATGAAGAACTCTAGATCAAAGTGATCACTAATCTCTCAGGTTTGAGGCATCTAGTTTTGCCTTGACTCGACACCCTGAGCTACATAGATTGACCCAGGAAATTAATGGTTAAGTGTGAGCAGGACCCGAAAGGGAAGGAAGTGAGAACAGCCTTGTACTTTCACTCTCGGGAGAACCTCCAACTCTGCATCCACTTCTGTGGACTTAGCAGACCAGGGTTGGGGCGGGTCACCTCTGGCAGCCATTCAATGCTAGGGAACTGACTAGCCAAGCCAGTTTGGGAAGAGGCTGAATTGAATTTTACTTCTCCCCTGGCCCTTGCAGCTTTTCTCCCTCCAATGGAATGTCTGTAATTGGAGACGTGATAGGCTGATAGCCCAATAGGAGATGGCAGCCAGTTCCTGCCTCCTCTCTATCCAGGCAGACCAGAAGTCAGCCAGCTCCAGACACAGCACAAGCACCATGCCCATGACTCTGGGTTACTGGGACATCCGTGGGGTAAGTGAGAGGGTACTGCTGGATGGGACAAAGACACAGCCTGGGGAGCAGGAGTAATTACGGGATTTCTAGGAGATAGATTTAGTTCAGAACTTGCTGGAAATCATTGTCAGGAGAGAAAATACATGAGAGCTGGTGCATGTGTGTGTGTGTGTGTGTGTGTCTCCACGTGTCCACACATGTGTAAGTTGTTAGTGTAAGATGTAGGCTCACCAGGAGGTGGGGAAGTCACACTGTGAGGGTTTCCCCATCTCTGACCTGTCACCACCCCTCTCTCTAGCTAGCTCACTCTATCCGCCTGCTCCTGGAATACACAGACTCCAGCTATGAGGAGAAGACATACACCATGGGGGACGGTAATGACCCCTTCCTGGTCAGACCCTTGCCTAACTTCTGCCCATCGGTGCCTGGCAACCCGTGACTGGGGATCCCACCCCACTTTGCTCAGCTCTTAGGGCATCTTAGAACCTACCCCTTCTAGAAACTTCCTTGCGTTTGGTCTTTCAGTGCAGGGTACTGGGAATGGAAGTCTGTTCCCTTCAATTGTAATTGGGTTACTTTTCCTATTAGGGCTTACCTAAACCTTTTGTAAGCCTTAGTGAGATAGGGCCCACAGTTTTACAAGTACTCTTTATCTCTGCAAACTTAGAATGTGAGACAGTGGGTCAGGTTGCAGATCCTTAGGAGATTTTGCCTCTAACTCCTTAGATGGGTCCCTAGGGAAGAGGGTGGGGCACTGGGTGATTTCACATCATCTTGTTCATCACAGCTCCCGACTATGACAAAAGCCAGTGGCTGAATGAGAAATTCAAGTTGGGACTGGACTTTCCCAATGTAGGTGCAGGGAAGGGGTGGTTTGGGGAAAGGAGAAGGTGACGGTGCCCCACCTCATCTCCTTGCCCAGCTGAGGGGGTTTGATGTTTCTCTCTCCTGCTCCATTCCTGGTGGTCTGCACTATGTTCCTGTGATGGGCTATGTCCCAGCTCTTGCATTCAACGTGCAGTGTATTCATGGAGGGCTTCCCATGTCAGGCACACTGAATGCCAGGCTCCATGTCTGTCCTAACCCAGGGGATTCTGGGATATCCATATCCCATCTGACCTTCTCTGCTTATCCATTCAGCTGCCCTACTTAATTGATGGGCCACACAAGATCACCCAGAGCAATGCCATCCTGCATTACATTGCCCGCAAGCACAACATGTGTGAGTGGGGCTGGCTGCAGGGTGGGGATGGTACCCATACCCCTGGGCTTGGCTGGGGTGGGCTGCTGAGGGTGAGTTGTGCTGGGTGTGCACAGGTGGGGAGACAGAAGAGGAGAAGATCCGTGTGGATATTTTGGAGAACCAGGTCATGGACACCCGCCTACAGATGGGCATGCTCTGCTACAGCCCTGACTTTGTGAGTGCACAGTGGTTGGAGCCCACAGGGTTTGAGGCGGGAGTTAAAGTCTTATGTTCATATCCACACTGGTCCTCTTTAGTATTTGAAATTACTGATAGATTTTTAAAACTCCCCTATCCAACCAACATGTTGACTGTCCTAATCCAAAGATCTTATCAAGGTTGTGTCCACACCCATCTTCAGTCACTTCAGGTGACTGTTTTTCCTGTGTGTTTTCAGTTGTGTGCTTAAGCTGATTCTGCCTAATGTGAGTTCAGAGCCAGGCGCCCACAACAGTCTTGGGTCTGATGCACAGAGTTCCCATCAGGCTGCTACCTAATAACAGTCAATCACACTGATGTGTTAACAGAAAGCCTGGACATTGACCCAGGCCCAGTCTCAGGAAGATAGATGTTCCCCTTCCCAGTCTTTTGAGACCAGCTTCTCTGCCTGGAAGCCTGCGTCTGAGAGTTGGTGACAGCTCTTTTCTGCCTCAGGAGAAACAGAAGCCAGAGTACTTACAGGGCCTCCCTGAGAAGATGAGGCTCTACTCAGAGTTCCTGGGAAAGCGGCCATGGTTTGCAGGGGACAAGGTAGGGAATGGGGAGGAGGATTTGCTGTTCTTCCTAGGATTCCATGTTCCGTCCCATTCACCGTCGGCTTCCTGCAGATCACCTTTGTGGATTTCCTCGCTTATGATACTCTTGACCAGCAACGAATATTTGAACCCAAGTGCCTGGATGCGTTCCTGAACTTGAAGGACTTCATGGCCCGTTTTGAGGTAATACTCTGATTCTTCTTCTTATTGGATGGTCTTCCTCTACCTTTTAATGATGCCTTTCCTAGTCCTGGGAGTACAAATGAGGTATAAATTGGCATTTTTTGAACATTGGATATATGCTCATATCTACTGTGTGAAATTTGTCATTACAATGCCCTAAATGGTGGGTAGAGTTATGAGTCCCATTGGACAGATGAGGAAGCAGATTATGTGACTGTCTCTTGCTCAGGGAACCAGTGCCAGTGGAGGTTATGTTGGGCTTCTGGCTTCCAAGAGCAGCAGGCAGTGGATCTCCCTGTTTGATGCCAAAGGAAAAAGCCATATGTGGTTGTGAAGCCTGGATTTTTCAGCCATGCCAGAAGTTTATAAACAGCTAGTATTCAGAGTGTGAGATAAGTCAGGACTGATGTGAAGTGTCAAAATGACCGCATCCATACCTGATCTGTCTAACTCTTTGTACAATCAGTTTCTTGAGTGGAGAAGCACTGAGACCTTGGGGCTGTAGTTGGGGGCTGTACTGAGTAGACAGGCAGCTATTGTTAGAGGAGTTTATCCTAGATTGCTTGATGTGTGGGTATTCTGTTTTCTGCCTTTCATCCTTCTCTGCAACAGCACAAACATTTTATCAGAGAAATGGAATTGTATTCTCTGGCATTCCCTCGATGTGGCACACTGTCAAGCTCAGAGGGATGTGGAAAAATTCATCTCCATCCAGGGATGGAGGGTGGCAGGCATGTAGGCTATGAAGTACACATGATGCCACCAGAGTCTATTTGTTTGGTGCCCATAAAACCTACATTTTTAGAGATTTGGGGATTGGATACTTTAGATCAATGGGGTTTTCAGCCTGAAATCTTGTTCTTTTTCCTTACTCCCTATCAAGTGATATGTTCTCTTAGCTAGTTCTGATCTAAGTTCATCAGCCCTGGGGATTGGGTGAGAACTGCTTGTACAATGAATGTGTTGTGGGGTGGGAGAGAACAGAAGGCCACAGTCTCAGGCCAGTGAGCCCTGTCCTCTTGGGTACAGGCAGCCCTGGAACTTTGAATTCTTCATAGCTTGTCTGGGCACTCTCCTGGAAAGATGATACACAGCCCACCTGAGTGCCATTCCTTAGTCTTCTCTAGCAAGGCTGAATGAACAGAACAAGCACACTGGGATGGGTTCAGCCACTAGGCTTCTAGGTCTGGGCTTTCTGCTTCAGGAGAATAAGGGCTGACCTGTTCTTGTTGGTTCACGTATCCCTGTCCACTTTCAGTCAGGATTTGCTGAGGTACTGGTGAGATCTTTGCTCTGTTCCAAAGTGCACTGGCATGCTATTGGTCCCTTTGCCTTGTTTAATTCTCCCCCTGTGTGCAAATACAGGCAAGAAGGAGCCTGCTGATGAAAAAGCAACAGTGTTTGTGCATAAAAGAGTGAGGAGGGGTCTTGTGGGGAGTGAACCAAGACAGCCAGAATGTAAGACACAGCCACTCTGCATGGAGCTTTGTCTCTCTTTCTAGCTTTGTGAGCATGAGGAAGACACAGCCTCTGTATATCTCAGGCTCCCTTCTATGAATGCAGAGCATAGCACCTGCCCTGCAGTTTTGTGGAGTGCGTTCTCTACACCTGTGTGTAGAGGGATACTGTATGTATCTCTAACTGCAGGATACATAAAGTTAAGAGCAGTACCCAGTTTCCTTTTCATTACAGGAAATTGAGGCATTCCCTTACCAGAACTGGGGACTGAGCAGCCTGTACTGTTCTAGCATGTGAACCCAGGTGTTTTTTAAAAGTGAAACTGGTGTGCCCAGAGAGGCCACAGACCCAAACGCCTTCTTTCTCCTTCCCCCTCACAGGGCCTGAAGAAGATATCTGCCTACATGGAGACCAGTCGCTTCCTCCCAAAACCATTCTATTCAAAGATGGCTTTTTGGAACCCAAAATAGGACTACAATGCCAAGACCTGGATGGGAGAGTCATGCAACTCCTGCTGGCCCTCTGGTCCTTGGGTACAGCTGGGTCTCTGCACCCAGCCCAAGAGGTTTTCCCTCCTTTCCATTCCCCTTTCCTCCATTTCTTCTTTCCATCCCCCACCTCAGCCACTGTCTGCTCACCTCAGCTCCCTGTTTCTTCAGTAAAGTCTCCTCTTCCCTTTTCTTGTTTCTTCCCTACATCCTCCCTACTTCCAGATAGCTCTTTGCTCTCCTTGAAGAACTATACCTGAGCCCATACTCCCCAGTACAGCCCAAGAGACCAGACATGCCCGTGTGTAGGCCCTGGTCCCCAGGGTGGGACAACCCAGCCCTGTCTGTCCCAATAAAGTCTGAACCACATTTTCTCTGTGTCTTTGTCTTACTGATTGTGACTCTCAGGAACAACTGTGTGGACTTGGTTGGTCTTTGTTTTGTTGTCCACAGGAGGGGCCGGGTGATAAGTGTAGGGACTCTGGGTTTAAGGTCATTTAAGGTCCTTCATCCACGTCCCTGTGTTCTTCAACTTGAGATTCCTGCAGAAGAGTTCTCTATCATCGCTCATTCATTCTGCAGAGTGCGATGCCCTCACTGGCCAAGTGCAGCCATGTATCCTGTTTCAGAGAGATGCTGGACTGATGAGCAGGCCCTAGGCAGATCATCTTCTGTCCTCACCTAGAAGTCTTTGCTGAGCTGAGCATTCATCTTCGGCTTTCTCAGGATATTTCTCCATAAACATTCCCCACTGTCTGCAGTTGGTATTGGGGGTGTTTCCCCAAACTCAAACACAAGGGCTCTCTCTCTCTCTCTCTCTCTCTCTCTCTCTCTCTCTCTCTCGCTCGCTAAGGCTGGCCTTGATCTCCTGATTATCCTGCCTCTACCTCATGGATGTTGGGATTACAGGCATGTACCAGCACACCACCTTTGGACTTTTCATCATTGATGTATATGACAGTTCTTGGTAAATGGCTAATGTATGGGAAATTTGGAATTTGGAATGAATGGTGTGCAGAGAAGCTTAGGCCAGTCCGTACAAGCAGCAGTAGGGCTTATAGCTCTGAAAATAACCATCTTAGCTAGAGACACGAGAGAAAAATTTTCATGCAAAGCTGTCTGAACCAGAGGCACTTTCTCACTTAAGCATTTAAGAGGCTGCAGCTGCCTTTGGAGGAGCAAGAGCTGGAATAGGCAGGCCTAGTTTGCAGGACCTCAGTGCAGCAATGTATGACCAAAGGTGCTGTGTGTATTTTGTTTGTTTGGTTTTTGTTTTTAAGACAGGCTCCCCCTGTAGCCCCAGCTGGCCTGGAACTTACTATGTAGACCAGGCTGGCCTCAATCTCACAGAGATCTGTCTGTCTGCCTCCTGAGTGCTGGGATTAAAGGCATGTGCCACCACGCCTGGCTCTGTGTGCCTTTTATAGAAATTCACCTACAAAGGCACTGGTATTGCCAGAGAAGTACCTGCTGAGCAGGTTCCTGGAACAGTGGCTGGTTCGTAGATTCTGGCCTTGGTTATGCACTGCCTGTGATGATCTGGAGGAGACCCTGCTTGACGTTCTTATGCCACTGCCTGCTGCTGCCTGGTACAGTTAAGAAACAAGCAAGCTTAGGCATGCTATGAAGGTCACTGTGAAATGAATGAGGGAGTAAAAGATAAAGGCTGTAAGAGAAAAATTCATGGAAGCTAAATGCTTATGAAACTTGTAAGATCAAAATCATTTAAGCCAACGTTTATTAAACTTTAAAAGACAAAGAAGATAAGATTGAAAGGAAAGTAAGAAAGTCAGGAGCAGCACTCTGATAAAACTAAGTCGAGAGAATGAAAACATTAAACCACACGAAAGTAGATATGGGTTTAGAAGAGAGGTTAGCAAACATTCCCCAGGAGGAGAAGATACTTGAGGCCTCGTGGGCCACACACTTTTGACTGTACTTCCTCTACTCTTGCTGGCATGTAGCAGCACAAAGCACACAATGGACACGTCCTGATAGAACTTGATTTACAAACAAGTGACTGTAACACCAAAAAAATCCTAGTGATTCAAACATGAGCAGTGTAAGGTATTTTCCCAGAGACAATAATATGAATGACAAATAAGCACATGAAAAATTGCTCAGTATCACTGATTGCTAGAGAAATATAGTCTAAAACTACAAGGATGTCTTACCTCATCCACTTCATTTTTTTTTCAGTCTTCATGTGTGTGAGTGCATGTGTGCACACATGTGCAAATTAAGACCAGAGCTCAATGCTGGATGTCTTCCTTGAGGGTTCTCCATCTTATTTTTTCTTTTAATATTTTATTTATTATTTTCATTTTATGTGTATGAGTGTTATTCCTGCATGTAGGTAAGCGCACCCATGTCGTGCAATGCCTGCAGAGGACAGAAGAGGCTGTCAAATCCCCTGGAACTGGAGTTACAGACAGTTGTTAGCTGCCATGTGGGTACTGGGATTCGAACCTGGGTCTTCTGCAAGAACAGTCAGTGTTCTGAACAGCTGAGCCATCTCTCCATCCATCTTATTTTTTGAGGCAGGGTTGCTGATTCAGCTAGACTGGCTGGCCATCAGCAAGTCCGAGGGACCCTCCCCAGTACTGAGATAGGCACATGCCACCACACTTGGCTCTATTTCTTTTAAAACATGATTCCTGGGGGCTCAGATTCACGTCTTCATGCTTACATGGCAAGTGCTTTACCAACAAAGTCATCTTCCCAGTCCCTCACTTCACTTTCATTATTATGATTTAATGACTTATAGAAAAAAGTAGAAAGTAATGTGTTGATGAAGCTGTGGAGACATTGGGAATCTTTTGTCCTGTTGGTGGGAACACAATAATATAAGCAATGTGGAAGACAGCTCCTCAAAAAATGAAAACTAGCATCACTATATGATGCACCAGTTCCATTTCTGGGTATGCACTCTAAAAAAAGCAAGATGCTACACCCATGTTCATATCAGCAATATTTACAACAGGAAAATATGGATACCATGCAAGTGTCTATCAACAGATGAATGAATCAACAAAATGTGGTACACAAACTCAAAGGAATACTGTTCAGCCTTAAAAAGAAAGTAATTCTGTCTGGGTATGGTGGTACAATGCCTTTAATACCAGCACTCGGGAGGCAGAGACAGTAGACCTCCGTGAGATTGAGGCCACCCTGGCCTACACAGTAAGTTCCAGGTCAGTTGGGGTGACAGGGAGACTCTGTCTCAAAAACAAAGCAAAATGACCCCCACAAAAGAGGAAGAAATTCTGTTACATGCTAAAATACAGATGAGCCTCAGGAGCAGTTTGCTAAGTGAAATAAAGTCACAAATTTTCAAAACCTTATGAGTCTACTTCTATGAAGGAAGTAGAACAGACATACTGTAAAGACAGAGATTGCAAATGAGTGTTTGGGGACCGAGGACTGAGGATTTATTTAATGAGTGAAACCTCCAATTTGACAAAATGAAAAGAGTTGCAAAGACAGATGGTGGCGATGGCTGCTTATGTAAAAAAAGGCATGCAGCAATTCTAAACTCTGACATGGTAAGATAGTAAGTTTTATACCATGGTTTACTTATCATCAGAAACACATTAAGTTACTGATAACAAAACAAAGAACATGGAACTGTATTAATAGCTTACATTAAAAAGATAAGCTATATTAAAGCCAAAATATTGTATAAGATTTGAAAATTTAAAGGCGATTATAAAAGAAGTCTAAACCAGTCCTTATGTAAGGAGGAAGATGTGGATGAGGAAGTAGGTTGTGGACATCTGTAATTAGATGGCCAGAGGCTGCTAACCAGCCTTCCTGAATAACCTCATGACCTCCACTGGGCTGGGTCAGGTTGGGTTTGGTGCAGGAGTCAGGACTCTTGGATTCCCACATACACAGGTCTTATTTCTCTCTTGAACTCATTACAGCTACTTACAGTCCAGGTCACTCCCCATGCTGTTGCTGTCCTTCAAAACACCATCTGTATCAAGTGAACACTATTATCAGGGCCCACCAACCTCAAGATAGTCTGTTCTTTTCAGAGTGGACCTTTAGTTCCCAGAGCCTAAAGTGTCCAGAACTCTCTCCACATCTGCCCTTGGCCTGTGCCATGGGCTTTTTCCAGCTGGTTCATGTTATCTGCTTGTTTCTGGAATAAACAGGCTCAATCAATGAGAAAAAGAATTTCAGGATGAATTATCATAGAACTCTTGGGTTCTGAACTCTGCAATCAGTTCCCAGTACTGTCCCTTCACATGTATGAGTCAGCTCGTCCTCCTCATAGGTAGCTCTGAAAGCCATTGTTTGTCTTGGAGTCTCCTACACTGGTGTGCAGCTCTTAGCACAGGGTCAGCCATAGGGCCTCTATGGATTGGATTCCAACAATGGACAGACTGAAACATCCTCAAATGTATATTTTATTCTCTGAAATTTTGCTAGGTGATGTTTGACCTTCCCTGAGCAATTTGAATTCCTTGCTTTTTCAGTCTGCCCATTGTTAGAATCCAGTCTTGCCAAGTGCTCACCCCAATCCCCAACTCAACCCACAGAAGAAAATTTGTATACCAGTGGCAATAGATTCAGGGATAATGTGGTTTCATAGTTTTTTTCTTTTTTCTTTTTTTAAAAAACATGCTTTATTTATTATTTTTATTTTATGTTATGTATATGAGTGTTTTGCCTGCATGTATGTAAGTACCCCATGTGTGTGTAATGCCCTGCAGAAGAGGGCATCAGATCCCCTGGCATTGGAGTTACAGATGGCTGTTAGCTTCAATGTGGGTGCTGGGAATCAGACCTTGGTCCTTGGAAAGAACAGCAAATATTCCTAATCACTGAACCATCTCTCCAGCCCTCTGCCACTTTTTTTCAGATTTTTAATTTTTGTTTTAAAAAATATTTATTTTCGTGTGTGTGTGTATGTGTGTGTGTGTGTGTGTGTGTGTGTGTGTGTGTGTATGTGTTTATGCACACATGCATACAGGTGTCCACAGAGGTAACAAGAGGTCATTAAATCCCCTGGAGCTGGAGTTACAGGTGGTTGTGAGCTGCTTCATGTAGGTGCTGGGAATCAAACTTCAGTCCTCTGCAAGAGCAGCAAGTGCTTTTAACCATTGTGCTAGCTCTTTAACGTTGTTGTTTTTGAGACACAGTCTCACACTGTAGCCCAATTTGCCCTAGAGATCAGTATATATCCCATGTAGCTCCAAACTCACTGTAATCTTCCCAACCCAGCCACCTGGGTGCTGGGATTTCAGGCATGCACCGCCATGCCAAGTTGACAATGTTGTATTCTTATCTGGCTTTCTATTACCTCTATAGATACCAACCTCATTAGAAGTCTAATTAACGCTGATGTATTAACTTGAAGCTTC